TTGCTGCAGCCGCAACCGCTCATGTTGGGTCCCCTGCTGGTGCAGGTGCTGTGTCCCTGCCTTTCCTGCGATGGTCTGGCGCCAAAAAGGCGCCACACCAGCGGATAGTCCGGCGGCGTCAAGGCGCCAGACCATTGGACGGTCCGGCGTCGTCAAGGCGCCAGACCATTGGATGGCCCGGCGTCGTCAAGGCGCCGGGCCATCGAGGCGCCCGGCATACCAGCAGCTCGACGCTGCTGTTCTCGCTGTTGCTGTGACGTCCAAGTGAACATTGATGTTATTGTGGTTCGAGATGCTATGGTTGTCGATGTTGTGGTCGGAGGTGCTGCGTTTGCTACAGCTGCAGCCTCTCATGCTGGGTCCCTCTGCGTTTGCTGCAGCTGTGCCCCTGCCTTTCCTCCGATGGTTCGGCGTCGTCAAGGCGCCAGACCATCGGATGGTCCGGCGTCGTCATAGCGCCAGACCATTGGATGGTCCGGCGTCGCCGAGGCGCCAGACCGTTGGATGGTCCGGGTTCGAGATGCTGTGGTTCTCGACGTTGTGGTCCGAGGTGCTGCGTTAGCTGCAGCTGCAGTCGTTCATGCTGGGTCTCTCTGCGTTTGCTGTGGCTGTGCCCCTGCCTTCCTGTGACGTCTAAGTGAGCGTTGATGTTGTTGTGGTTCGAGATGCTGTGGTTGTCGATGTTGTGGTCGGAGGTGCTGCGTTTGCTGCAGCTGCAGCCGGTCATGCTGGGTCCCTCTGCTGGTGCAGGTGCTGTGTCCCTGCCTTTCCTGCGATGGTCCGGCGCAGTAAAGGCGCCGCACCTGCGGATGGTCCGGCGTCGTCAAGGCGCCAGACCATTGGATGGTCCGGCGTCGTCGAGGCGCCGGACCATCGAGGCGTCCGGCATACCAGCAGCTCGACGTTGTTGTTCTCGCTGTTGCTGTGACGTCTAAGTGAGCGTTGATGTTGTTGTGGTTCGAGATGCTGTGGTTGTCGATGTTGTGGTCGGAGGTGCTGCGTTTGCTGCAGCTGCAACCGSTCATGCTGGGTCCCTCTGYGTTTGCTGCAGCTGTGCCCCTGCCTTTCCTCCRATGGTCCGGCGTCGTCAAGGCGCCAGGCCATGGAGGCGTCCGGCATACCAGCAGCTCGACGCTGCTGTTCTCGCTGTTGCTRTGACGTCTAAGTGACCGCTGATGTTGTTGTCRGAGGTGCTGCGTTTGCTGCAGCYGCAGCCGCTCATGCTGGGTCCCTCTRCTGGTGCAGCTGYTGTGCCCCTGCCTTTGCTCCGATGGTCCGGCGTCGTCAAGGTGCCAGACGKTCGGATGGTCCGGCGTCGTCAAGGCGCCGGACCATCGAGGCGTCCGGCATACCAGCAACTCAACGCTGCTGYTCTCGCTGTTCATGTGGAGTCCAAGTGAGCGTTGATGTTGTTGCGGTAGCAGACGCTGTGGTTGMAGATGTTGTGGTCGGCACACCAGCTACWYAACAATGYTGTTCTYGCTGTCGCTGTGGCGTCTAAGYGAGCACTGATGTTGTTCTGGTTCTAGATGTTGCGGTTGTAGATGTGGTCGTCAAGGCGCCGGACCATCCAGGCTTTCGGCACARCAGCTGCTGYCGCTGCTGCGTCGCACTGTTGTTGTGGCATGTGAGCAAGGGTTCGTGTCCCGCTGCACGTGTTGCGGCCGCAGTTGCTGGCGCATCTGTCCCAATGTCCGTCAGTCTTGCTGTGGTTCCTCTGATGCTGGGTCCCTCTGCTGGGTCCCTACCTTTGCTRGCCCTCCCGATGGTGYGKCRTCGTCAAGGCGCCAGACCACCGGATGGTCCGKCGTCGTCGAGGCGCYAGACCAWCGGATGGTATGCCCCCGTCGAGGCGGCAGACCATYAGATGGTCCGKCGTCGTCTCGGCGCCAGACCATGTAAGCAAGGGTTCGTATYTTGCTGCACATGCTGTGGCCGYGGATGGTTCGGGCGTCGTCAAGGCGCAAGACCATCGGATGGTCCGGCGTCGTCAAAGCGCCAAACCATAAGATGGTCCGGCGTCGTCGAGGGGCCGGACCATCCAGGCTTTCGGCACAACAGCTCTCCGAACGTACGTTAGAGTTGTTGTGCTTGGAGTTGCTGTTGTTGAAGTTGTTGCAGCTGCAACACCTTCCCGCTGTCTGAACGTTGGTTAGAGTTGTTGTCCGAACGTTGGTTAGAGTTGTTGTGGTTGGAGTTGTTGCGGCTGCAGCACCTTCCTGCTGCTCGTGTCGGGTGCCTCTGCCTCCTACGGTCCGACGCCTTGCCAACCGAACCACCATCCGATGGTTGTGCCATCCAATGGTCTGGCGCCTCGGCGACGCCGGACCATCTGATGCTCGAATTTACAGTGCTCTGATGCGGACTGGCGATCGCTTTCTCGTTAAGCGAAACGGCAGATTGGCGTGCTTAGAGACGTGCCCTTCCCCGTTATAGTGGTAGGGATTTCGCGGTGGAGGCAAGTGCTTTCCTGTTTGCCTGCTGCCATTGTGAACGTTCGTTTGTGGAAGCACATGCTTTGCGTGGTGCCCGACAAGAGCAGCTTGCTATTGTCATTGGTTTTGGACGCCTTCCACCGCCCCTTCTTCTTAACCTYTGTTTCTTCYGTGTGTTGCGTCGGCGTCGGATGCGGTGTTATGCAGCTGCGTGCTCCTCAGGGGTYTCTACGCCGAAGGTTGTCGGAAGGGCGGTCACGTTCCAAGAGAAGTATTGGGCAATCGATTGGCACCTYGGTATGAAAGTCCCCTGTTGTGGGCCAGTTGTTTTTTTGCGGGATGAGAGTGGTGGTTACTACCCGYGCGGSGGTATCAAGACTTACTCGTTTGATAAGAACATGCCTGACRAGGAGTACATGAGATTCCATCTCACGACGTGTTTCGACATCGAYGGTSAGGAGGTGCATGACAACTACAAGCTCGTGTTTCTCCACGTCGAGAAGTTCCAAGGTTACGACATCCGCGCTGCATCAATGCCTCCGTTCGACAAGTCCTAGAAGAAGGATGCGTCGCAAATGGTGATGCTCAGGCCGTTCGAGTTCCTCAAACACGTTAATTGCTWTAAGGTGTCGAACCATATCGTGACGATTGACAACAACCTGCATTTGTCAAATCCCTTCGTGCCCTTCGACTGTGATCTTGGAGACTTCGCAGACATGGTGCGACGTCACAAGCTGCAGGCAATGGGCCAAGCYGTTTTGYGAACTGYYGTCTCTGTGAGCTCGCCAAAGACGGTGSGCAAGAGTTGTGGGGAACCGAAAACATCTGCCCGTATAAGCAAAAGTGGGGCCGCATCGACACAGGCAAAGAGCGTGAGCAAATCAGCTTGTCTGCTCCGGCCGAAGGGTGTGTCTCCGACGCAGGCACCATCACATGCAGAATATGCGGCACACGTTTCTTTGACTCCGCCTGGTGGGGCCACTGACCATGAGGATGACGACGAAAACACAGAGGAGGACTCGCGCTTTTTCAACTCAGACGGTGGGCGGTGGCCCGATGGCAATGATGYGAAAGACACGGAAGGGGACGAAGACGAACARCGGTTCCGMGAYGGTGCACACGATGAAGAGGGACACTTGGAGGATRGCTTCGCCRAAGGCGATGGTAGTGAAGGCCAAGAGGATGGTGGTCACGAAGGCGATGGGAGTGAAGAAGAASAAAATGAGGAAGCGAGTGACGAGGACGTCGCAGAACGGGAAGACAGCTACGAAGGGGGGAGCGAAGGAGATGAGGGTGGGGCGGACGTCGACGACGGCGGGAATACAGGGTCGTAGAAAAGGCGGGAACAGTYTTCCCGTGCCACAAGTCATGACGGTCCGGCAGAAGATGACGATGTGTTGCATGGCACACAGAGGTYTGTGTGCATGCGCAAGAGGAAAMTGAGATGTGGGAGGGCAGAGGAAGAGAAGCGGAGACAAGCTAAGCTCATCAGCCTACAGGCCTCGACGGAGGCTTACAAGAGATCCTTAGAGGCTCAATCCGCTWAACCAGCAAAGGAAAAGCGTGAACGAACTCGATCTTCCTAGAGACCGAAGAARAAAGCAAAKGCTGAGGAGACAAAGGAAGTGGCGGACTCTRGGGACGAAGCGGCGGGGGTCGACCCGAGACATACAGCGTCAAAGCCTGGAGAGTTGACCAACGATACTATCGACACCACRATATGTTTTTTTYYKGGAATATGACGAGGACGRCAATGCGATAGATCGGCCTACCCAAGTGTTCGTTGACGTGGTCAARATATTGYCCAACCCTTCGGAAGGCGTGCAATACAACCASAGGCCGTTGAACGAGATGTTGGTCACCTCCATCAGGGATGCAATRGAACACCCGGAAAAGCAGAAGCAGTGGGACATAAACACGTGGATTCTTGCTCCTGTCGYTGAAGTGCAAAAGGATGGCCGGAAGCAGTGGGAACGTGTGAAGYCGGAGGAGTGGGATGATGACAASGTGRCCTCCTACCATTGGTACACAGTGGTCGGCCAACATACAGCGGAGGCAGCAAAGAGGCTGGTCGCTGCGAAATCGTCTGCTGCCCAYAAGTGGGGCGTGCATTCTTGGAAGGCGCGGGTTGTRTATTTTGACGATGACCATTTGGAGGGGTATGCRTACATCTCCACGTTTGACAACACCAGGGAGAYACGTGCTATCYCGTCGTCGWTTCGAATGGCTGTGACTGCTATAAGAGGCCTGTGACAGAGTATRAAAGAGCCAAAAGGTGATTGGCATCAGGCAAAGACRGTGGAAGAAAGGACTGCACAGCGTGAGCAATATCAGGAGTTCGTACGGAAAGCTATACGGATGAMTCYTGACACATCGCTCTGGAACCAGTCGTTGGCGAAAAGATTTGTGAGGAATTGATCAAACCTTTTGCGGCCCTACATGTGTCTTGCGGCGAGCGGCAGAGTTGTGTGGAAAAAKGCGAATTGCTAGGGCAGGACGGCGTGAGACCAGTGGATCAGGAAGGGAAAGYAGGCGAGGCAGTARGACCGGGCCCTGCARCGAAGACGGTGAAAGGCAAAAAAGTGTTGGTGCACTACGTCCAGTCCAACAAAAGTTCRCAGGGTTTCTATGTTTGCATMAATGATCCCCCCGCRAGCGCATGGAAGGTGTTCGGCGATTTCACATCACGGGAGAAGGAAATGGCCCTCGAGAAAATACTTGCGGGACAYGTTGTTGTYACGAGCGGAAGGGCATTTGTGAAAAAAATGATGAACATGCAAGACCTGTACGTKGAGGTGAGAAGGGAGAGATATATRGTTCACATGTTTAACTATATCCTCTTCAAGATAGAGMAGAGGTCGGAGGAGGAGTGAAATGACAAGTTCTTCATTGGCTACGATACCATAMTGAGGCGGTTTACATCGCGAGGGTTGACGACAGAGAAATGGGAAGAAACCAAGTCCAAGATCGTAGCARAGAAGACTGTCAATGTCCCAAAAYGATTGGGCGGCGTGGATGAGGSGAAACTTGGAAAAGGGAATGTCGGGGGCCACAAGGTGACGACTGCAATATATATGGAGTGTCCGTACTTTCTCAAGCTTTTCGTGCATGAGATTCTTGGCGCARTTGAGCAATTGCGGGACRAGCTGAGACGGATCAGCTCAAATGCTCAACACATAATGTGGGACAAGCGCAAAGATCACACGACGTATCTTTCTGTCTGCATCACACCTATGGATGCACTGCACCCGGCAGAAGATTTGACTCGTGCCGTGAGRAAGCTGAGTTGTCACCTTGTAGTATTGGACTTGGCTCCGTTGAAGAATCTCGACGCATGGAGYGAGCAAAGGTTTCACGAGCTCCGCCAAATGATGACGGTGTTGTGCGGGTCGCATTGGGCGCTAATCATATTCAGCGCATTGAAAGTCAAGGAAACGGTGTTGAGGAAMGTCTTCAGGTGGGACGGTGTGAGAGTTCTTCCAGGGCGCTGACATCGTTATAGCGAAGCAGCATCATCCTGCGCCCAAGTTSGGAACCTTCCGTTGAGAGGGCRCGACTCCATGACCATTGTGCTGCACGATACAGACAACGACTTGAAAAAGGTCACGGTCGCAAAGCCTCGTGGGAACACTCTCTTCGACACGCATTACGTGGAGGAGTTATTTGTACGATGTACAAAAGAGGCAATCGGAGTGCGAGGCGATAGCAAACCTGTGTACGAGATATGGGAGAGGGAACCTGCAAAGATGAAAGACTTATGCACCTGGTTTTCGAAGGAAAGGGGAAGGTGTTCTGTTACTGGGTAACGTTCAGGTAGGAACAACGTGGGACTTGCTGCGCTCAGGACGCCATGTCGTCGCATGTGATGGTTCCTCAAACCTGATGGAGTACTCCACTTTGTTTATCGATCGCCACGTCCACAATCCAGATAACAGGTGTCACTTTGAACGGTCGAAACCTCAACATCGTGCAGACCGAGACATGTTCCTGAAGCTCGGCAAGAAGAGGGACTCTCTGTGGAGCTATCTTTTTTGCATTGCACCTGCAACACCAACAGATACAGATTATCTGCACCGTAAGGTGATAGCGATCCAGCATCTACAAGGATATCACAACGCCAAACGCGGTGCAATTGAGATATTTCTAGGCCGATGTGAACACCTGTGGTTTGAAAGGAAGCGAGTCAAAATTGATACGAAGGTTTACTGCGAGGTAATGGACGTTGGGGAGCAGTTTGACATTATGGACACTGAGGAGGAGACAGAGGATGAGGAGATTGACCTGCCATTGCCGGATGCACATCAAAATGCAGTGAGAGACGAAACGCCTCCGCTGTCCGCTTTGGGTGGTCAACAAGCGATGGAGGAAGATGTTGGCGGCACTATCGCGAGTACCAGGCCCGATAATGTGATGCGTGGAACAACGCCGAAAACAGGTGGTGCAATGGAAGGCAGCACATCCAAGTGCGGCATGAAGGAAGCTACCCCARGATTCGTTTCACTGGTGAGGAGAGTTCGCAATGACATAGAAGGAGCGGTGGACGRCGAGACTCAAAATGTTGCGCGTGCAGACAAGGAATCAGTGGACAACCCAKATGGGATGGACATAGAGGATGATCMCCTCTTTCRCATCCYGGRCGAYGTCCCCAAACAACTTGCACCGGGTGATAATATATCATATGACATGAAGGAGATGAAAGGAGGACCTCACTTTCTAGAAACRAAGTACAAAGAGTCATATGAACAYGACTGGGGGCATCACATCATATGGCATCCAGSTCTTTTCGAGCCTTGTGTGATWGATGGCAGATGGCACATGGYTATCCAAAGAGGTGGRAAATSGGGGTTCAGGGAAAGAGTCCTCWGGAGCAGGTYTTATGAAATCGCAAAGGACAACTTGTCTACCCGCGTGAAGCAGGCAAACAGAGAGGCGCCAGACCAMAAAATATCRGACAAAGTGAACTCGTTATTCRAATTCCTGCGTGAAAATYACCTTCTCGAGTATTGCGCTGCRTTCTACGACAARAAATCGAGTCCATCGTATGAAGCYGTCATATGGTCTTTGGACTACCGTGCAACGGACTGTATGTACGACAACGACATACTTGTGGGATGCAGTCAAGGCCTTGAGGGACACACGKGTGCAAGGAAGAAGATCAATTCAGCAGMAGCAGGAGGTGGTGGCGAGAGTGTGGCAGACAAGGAAGGGCATCTCAGGATGCAAAACGCAATGGGAGACGAGTTCAGTGAGYRGCCATCGAGCACACCGCAACCAACACTTACACCRTCKGATGGCATCASTGCAGTGGGAGCCAGGAGTGSGACAACACCAACAGCAGGCGGGGAAGTTGTTGGCGATGACGGGAAGGACGAAAAGATTGAAGAGGACCAGCRACAAAAAGCATCAGACGAAGAAGGGCCAAAATTCCAGGCACATGAGGTAGTGAAGGCGGTGGCAGGGAATGTYGATTCGCATTCCAAGMAGTCACAAGGAACACACGATACRACTGTCATCACTGCACAGGCGCAAGGTACCGACGAAGACACCAGGGAGCAAAGTKCACATGAGAAAGATGGGGGGGAAGGACAAGTGCTTATGGAATGCACTGGTSCARGAACGCAAATAGTTTCRGAGTCAACAATGGGAGAAAGGAGAGCTGACGTGGAGRRTGTCAGTGCGGCAGAGCATGAAAAAGAGTMAGAGTGTGATCAACTTGGTGGTCCWGTYAGGTRAGAACGAAGAAACATCTGACAAGGAAGAAGCGAAAGAGTCGGGATAGGAGTCTCAAGAAAGAGAGCGTGATTTGAGCGAAGCGAGTGAGGGAATAAGCGGTAGAAAAAGAAAAGCAGGCAAGGAAAAAGAGGATTGCAGAATGCGACGTTCAAAAAGAGTCAGGGAGAACAAAGCACAGTACAACGTATAGTGCATGTGTGTACGTGGATGTCAGCCTACATTCACACTTGCTTGGATGTGTGTGTGTGTGTGTGTGTGTGTGTGTGTGTGTGTGTGTGTGTGTGTGTGTCTGCGACTGTGTGTGTTACATCACCGGTGAGGATGGGATTTTAAAGTATGAAACGATGAGTGAGAGGCGTGATTTATATGTCGATTGTGCCGGTTGAACACAGTACATATTACATTTCGAGTACGCTTCGATTTGTTGACATGGAAATGGAACCGTGGATTGCATAAATTATATATAGATTGTGTCSATCGAGAAAATACAGCAGTTTGTGTATCAGATTATGCTATTTCTGTATGGAGAACGCGAGACGGGCTTAAGAATTTCGAATCGTTGCTGTCTTCGGTGTATGTATTGATGGAATGATATAAGAAGTTCGCAGATATGTGGCGCTCTCTCTCTCTCCCTCCCTCTCTCTCTCTCTCCCTCTCTCTCTCTCTCTCTCTCTCCCTCTCTCTCTCTCTCTCTCTTTCTCTCTCTCTCTCTCTCCCGACACACACACACACACACACACACGCACACACACACACACACATACACACACACACACACACACGCACACAGATGTACAACGACAAACACCGTCATATCCGCCCCCCCAACGTTGAACCCGTATTCACCACTCAGTCCAATAGCACCTGCCGTCCTGTGGAATCCTACTTCCGCCCGTGCCGTACTAATGCCGGTCCAGTTTCGAACCCGAAACAATGGAGCAGCGAGTACCGTGCCGATGTCGAACTACTACCGAGCCTAAAATTTTGTCGAAGGTCGTCCCTTGCCGCTACTGAATATCGTAGAACGTAGACATACCGGAGTAGTTTCGAACGTGGTCGAACCAGATCGCGAACTGAACCAGAAAATGGTGTATGGCGCATTCTTCTACAACACAGAGTCAATCCAAGCCAACACCGAACCTGGAGACATGCCAAATGTCGTACAATACTGCAGTCCCATGACAGTACCGAGCCATCACCGTACCAATACCGAGGCTGGGTTAACCTGTTTGCACCACCGCAGCCCATACCGGACCAATGTCGAACCTCGAATAGTCACTCAGAGCCACTGTAACCCGTATTGTACCGAACCCCAACCTGAAATAATCGTCGTAGCTCGTACCATGTCAAAGCCGGACCAAAACTGAACTTGAAAATATTGCAGTGGCATATATCACCCCAATACGAACCAATACCGAACCTGAAACAACCATCCCCGAACCTGTAAGCGACGCCGACGCATGTACCTCGATGATGCTGGACCAATACTGAATATGAAACATGGAGACGTCGTGCCTATATAGAACCTGAAAAAATGTCGATGTCCACCTCATACAGTCCCACCGCGATAAATCCGAACCTATCCTAAACCTCAGGCCCGAACTGGAGCAGCAATCATATCAACGCAAGGCGCACTGCACACTCAAGTATCATTGCGCCAAAACCACGTTGTCCGTCACTCATAACACACAGGTTTCGGCGAGGCTAAAATCAGGGGATCGGGTAAGCCATGCGTACAAATCCCAACCATCGCAAAATAGTGGAAACCATCAAAATTAGAATAAATGAATAACCCGGGGGTAAATCCGCTCGTGGATAAATCGAGCAAAATTCCGTCAGTCATTTGATAATCAAGGTTTTTTCTTCCTTCTTATCATATTTAATTGTTTCTCCTACTTCTTAATTCTATTGTCGAAAATAACAAAAATAAAAGCAATTCCATCAAAAATAAATTTCCGATGGAATTCAATTAAACATCCAAAACTTCCTCGTTTCGTTTTCCTTTTATAGTTTTTTATTCTTTCCCATATTTTTTAATTCTATCATCAGAAATATCGATAATTGAAGGCGATCCCATTCAAATAAACATAATGATGATTTTAAATAAAATAATGAATATTTCGTTTTTCTCTTCTTCTCTTTTGTTTTTAATTATTTTTCCTATTTTTAATTTTAATATTAAATTTAATCGAATATGGCGTCCCGTCCTCGCGTCCGTCGGACACCGTAAAAAGGCCCTGCCAAAGCCCACTCTCAATTTACCACCCCACGGCCAGTCGTTTCGGGAACGGCCCCGGTGTTGGTGGAAAAGAGGTTGAACTGAGCGTGGGGGAAGAGGTAGCCCTTCTCGTCCATTCCTAGGGCTAGTCCTGATGATTGACACATCCGAAATTAGGGATGATTTGAGTACCCCTCATATCTCCCATCCGGTCGGACAAAACTCCCGGCCGATTCCCTCTTAGGAAATGGCTGGCCGGGGGAAATCGGAGTAAGAGGGGCCCCAAACAGGATGCGGTGGCAGCCGGACGGAACCCCCTAGGACCATGGGGGGGGCACTACTGCAGTCCGAGGTATAACGGTCACATGCCGACTGCAAAATCAGACCTTGGGAAGGGTCCAACAGCTAGAAAGAGGAGGAATAGCTGTTGGACACTTGTCCGAACAGAAATAAAAGAGAAAAGAGGGAAAAGGGGAGGAAAAGGAGGAGAATGAGACAAAGGAGGAGGAATGAGTGGAGGGAAATGTGCCGCCAAGTTGGGACTGCAGCGGTAGGGACTGGCAGGTCTCAATGATGACCTCATCCCTCCTAGATCCTAGGAGAGCAGTTCGGATTACATAGATAAGGCCTTTGGGGCATTATCTTTGCAATATCTAAATTTAAGCAACAAAAATAAAGGAAAATGCTGATGTGGGTTGGCCGTTTTTTTTTTTGGCCATAGATCTGAGATCGGATCTCATGGTGGAGGAGATCTAGTTATTTTTTGTGGGCTGACGCAAAACGGCTAGCACCGGAATGAGGTGGTAGCAAAATGGAGGGAAAACAAAAAGAAGGGAAAAAGACAAAACTGCGTATTTGGCCCAAGGTTTGGACGAGATACGCCTGAAAATTAAAAATTGAAGCTAAAGGCTCAAATTTGAGCCAAGGGGGGCTAGGGAGTAGCTCAGAATAATGGGAGTCATGGATCTCAGCCAAATCCAAGGTTGAGATTGTGCCGCCACTTGGAAAAATGTAACGGCCTACTCAAAAGAGGCCTAGACCAGGAAAAAGACAAGAAATGGGCCTCAAGGCCCTTAATCTCTAGTAAAGGCTGCATTTTGGGTTGTGGTACCACAAAAGGCAGCTTTTTTTTATGAAAAGAGGCCGGGGTAGGCCAAGGGGTAGTCCGAGAAGGTGTCGGCCACTCGGACCGCACGTACGTTGGCAAAATGGGGTTCAGGTACCCCCGGAAAAGGCCAAGACCTGAAATTTGGCCTTGGGGGTACCTCGGTCCACCTAGAGGCACTTGGAGAGGACTAGAGGTTGGGCGGTGCACCAGTTTCAGCCTACATAAGCTGAGGGTGCTGACCGCCACTCTCATTTGAGCATGAGAGGAGCCCATGCTGCCAAAATGAGTCCATGAGAGAGTTCTAGCGAGAGTAAGGCAAGGGAGMGAGAGTCGGAGCTAGCCGGAGTCTGGCTATGGTGGTAGAGCTGAGGGAGAAGGCCTAGAGGCTAGGAGGGAGCTAGGAGAGTGGTCCGCCATARCCCTCAGGCTGTGTGATAGGAGGGGAGGCTAYAAGGGGTCCCCTTAGCCCTCCTAGAGGGAAGGACTCCATAGCCTTAGAGGTAGGAGYCTGCCATAGGCTTAAGAAGGAGTGTGGGAGGAGGAGGGCAGAGCTAGGRAGGAAGGRAAACCATATTCAGGGAGYTAGAACCAAGCTTGGGACTCCATTACCTAGAGACCAGCAAGAGGTGAGTGAAAGAGGAGAAAGTCCTCCTCCTTCTTCTCTTCTTCCTCTTCTTCTTCTTCTTCTTCTTCTTCTTCTTCTTCTTCTTTTTCTTCTTCTTCTTCTTTTTTTTCTTTTTCTTCTTCTTCTTCTTCTTCTTCTTCTTCTTCTTCTTCTTCCGCTTCCTCTTCTTCTCTCCCTTCTCATTCTTCTTCTTCTTCTTCTTCCTCCTCCTCTTCTTCCTTCCCTTTTTTTTCCTCTTCATCTTCCTCTTCTTCTCCTCCCCCTTCTTCACCCTCCTCCTCTTACCAAAACTGTGATTTTTGCTGATCTGGTGGTTGTATGTTTTGCGCTTCATTCCGGGATACTTCGGTGATCTTTCTACTAGTGTAGATACTCTCAATCTTGTGTTTTTGTTAATCAGGGTGGTTGTATGTGTTGCGCTTCATTTCGGGATACTTCGGTGATCTTTCTCCTAGTGTAGAAGCTCTCACTCTTGTGGTTTTGCTGATTTGGG